ATTGGTATGAGGTCAAACCCTGTCCTGAAGCGTTTAAGCCACAATACTTGTGCCTAAAGCTTTACAGTTACCTTTCTTGGAGTGATGCCTAAATAATGCATCTCTTTTGCTGGCATATCCACATTTATCTCAGGTTCTGAAATGCTTTTAGTCATCATTTAAAAGCTTCTTTCTGTGATGGCCATCACCCTTAGGTTTATAAGGCTTTTATTGTGGCACCCCATTAGAGCTATTGTTTGTTCCTTTATTCGCCTTCATTCAGTGCATATGTGGGTGAAGGGCCTGACAGACATTTGGCTTGTTTTGAGTGCTCCCATCTGTGCTTCACAGAGTGTACAGAAGATCAGGGAGGTGAAGGAAGAAGAGTAAGGACAAAGAATGGTCTGAAATCTTGGACAGAAATTTCTCAAGAAACAGCAAGTAGCAAAAGCTGATCTAAGGTACAAGACAAATTCTTCCTTAAACATTTTCAAATAAAGCTTCTAATTTCAGAAGCACAGACCATTTTTGGTTTCTCAAATTTCACTGGATGATGAATACAGTAATTTCCAAATTATTTTTTAAATCTCCAGTTTAGGCTTCATCAAACTTGACTGAACTTGTTTGTCAGAACACCATCCCCATCCTTTGTTATTTGGGTGCATATAGTGGGGTCTCAGGGAAAGTTTCCATGATTCTAAATCTCAGATCTTGTGGACATACTTCAGTGCCTAACTCTGGATGTTTTACTTCAAAGGAACCTTGTCTAGTGTAGTCAGAGGTTTGGAGATGTTGGAACAATGTCCAGCAAAGGATTTAAATCTCTCTGCTTTTTGGTGGAGAGGTCTAGACCCTAACATTGACCTGCCAAAGGGAGAAATCTGATTCAAGGGAGCATGTGGGAGAAAGGGGAAGGCAAGAAGGGGATGATGCAACATACAGCAAAAAAAGATGTGAGAGGTACAGGGCAAACCCCAGCCAGCTGAACACTGGACTTCTGGCTGGATGAAGCCCTGGATAGAGAAGGTAGAGACAATAGGGTTTTACTGTCTGACTGTGGTAAAACTGTCCCAATGGCAAAGGCCAGGTTCTTAACAGCTTCTCTGATTTTGATGTAGTTTAGCATTGAGGATTAGGCACTGGTGTGAGGTGCAGGAAAAAATCCTTCCAGATCTGTCCAAATGGAGACCAAAACTTGACTTTTCACATAAGAATCACAGAATGGCCTGGATTGGAAAGGACCTTAAGCATTGTCTACTTCCCCCTGTCGCAGATGCCTTCCACTATCCCAGGTTGCTCCAAGCCCCATCCAACCAGTCCTTGAACATTTCCAGGGATGGGACAGCCACAGCTTCTCTGGGAACCCTATGTCAGGACCCCACCACCCTCACAGGGAAGAATTTTTTCATGATATCCAGTCTAAAGCTACTGTCTTTCAGTTTGAATACATTCCCCCTTGTCCTGTCCCTCCATGCACTTGCAAATAGTCTTTCTCCACCTTTCTTGCAGGTTCCTTTCACAGTTGGATCTTTTCCCCCACTGCACAATTCTTCCAGCCCTTTAACACAGATGTGACAACAGCAGCACAAGGATCAGTTATCTTCTGAGGTGCCATAAACTAAAAGTATCCATACAGACACTTGTGAGCAGCTTTGAACTGTACTTTACTCTTTCATTGTCTGTAAACTGAACGTATTTGGTCCTTGCTGATTGCTTTTTTTTTACTCCTGCTAAAACTTATTTAATGAAAACTTAATGTATACATCTCTGTGGAGGTTTAGGATGAATTAGACAGTGCATTTTGCCAAAAATTGTCAAAAAAATTCTAAGCAAACTTATTTTTGAGGTTCTTTGCTGTCCCCAATACTCAGTGGCAAGAAAGCTTGAAGAGCACTTTGCAGATATCTGAGTTTTGCTCTTTGCATGGTAAGTGAAATCATGGACCCAAATTTCAAAAGTAATGAGTACACAAGTGTTGCCTGATGATTCTAGATGGTGGAAGAACTTTGTTGGTACATCTATGAAAGCTCAGGATATAATAACCCTCAGAACATCCCAAAAAGAGGCACTAATGAGTATTACTGAAATTGCCTTTGTTTTTCTCCTTCTTTCTAAAATTAATTCTCATGCTGCTCCTCTTGAAGGGACATGTATTGATGAGCCTAAATTTGGAAATGTAAAGAGCTGCAGACAACTATAATAAAGGAGGACCAAGGAAGACACAGCAGAGTATGAACATGAAAGAGAAAACAGAGCATGATTTCTCCCTTGGAAACGTGCAGTGCTGTTGTGCATTGTATCTTGCTGTCAGCTTTACATTTCAGAACTGAGCATCACACCTCAAGCATGACTACTAAACCAAATTTGAATAAAAATTCATATTACAGCAGTTGTGCTACCAGGAAACCTCTATTAACAAAGTCCATTTTTGCTCCAATGTACATCCCCCATGCTTTAGTGTGTTGCAATCTGTGTTATTTCCTTCTGTGTGTCTGTAGGCCTGATAAGATTTACAGTGTTTAACCATTCCATTGACACCTCACTGGAAAAGAAAGCTCTGCAAACACCATGAATGTATATGAAAATCCCCCCTGTATGAAAGCAGAGGGAACTTCCTTTTTTGCAATATATTGTATGTAAAGCAGACCCTAACACTGCTTTGAATGTTTCATGGGGTTTTTGCCTGTACTATCTACAGCATCAATAAAAAATGTTCTTCAATTTACAAATGAAAACAAATATCAGAGAACTCAGTCGTATGTCTGAGGTAATGCTGAATTCTATAAGTTTCTTTGGTACTTTCAGGGAGATGCAATGAGAAAAAAACTTTAAAAAAAAAATTTAATGTTCATGAACTACTTGTAACCACCTCTTCAGACCATCTTAGCTTTTTGGCTTGGGAGGTAAATTTAATTTATTATGTGGGAAAGAGAATTTTGGAAAGAACTTAGGCCTCATTTCCTCCCTATGGCCACTGCTGTCTTGAGCACTTCTGCTATCTTGAAGGAATTCTGTCATGTTCTGAGGGAATAAAAAACATGTTCATAGCCCTTTTCAAAATGATGTTATTTGCATTGGTTGCATCTGCATTAGAGATAGTTTTCAGGGCCATGTCATAAATATAATGGTGTAAGTGTATACAGCTCCCTTAAAATGTCTCATTATATGTCTCCCTTTAGAACACCACAGCTGGAATAATTTTCTGAATTCTGTGATAAAAAGAATTTTTTTCAGATTATATACTCATAGTTACACAGATAAAAATTATAAGAGTAAATTTTAGAGAATTACCACATGTAGTCTGTGGTTAAAATATTAGCTATTAAGTAATTTAAGGGTCCAGAAAAAAACAAAAACAAAACAATCCTTCCTGCTAAGTATTCAGTATAAGAAAAATGAAAACTGTCTAATACATATCATATATAAATGATGTTAAAAATCTACTGAGAAACAGATCAGAAATACTAAGTGAAACTTCAATTTCTTCCACTCTAATTAGCTTGATTCTCCAACAGGGCATCCTCATACAACAGGAAGGAAGCAGACAATGTTTTGAGAAGCAGCATATTTGTCCAGCATAAAATTAATAAAATAAATAAAATTTATAAAATTTATTTATAAAATTTATAAAATTAATAACGTAATCTCTAAAACAAGACTTGTAGCAAGATTGCCATGTCAAAGATCCAGGTTTGTACTCACAGCACAAATCTTCAAACCTAAGTGATAATGGATTGACTTCTAAGCATCCATTACCCTCTTCTAAATATTAAAGCACACACAGCGACAATCTCCCCCAGACTACAATGCTTCATCATGCAAAAGCATCTCACTCTTTGCTTACAACTTCCCCTGGTACCATTAGTTTATCTATTCTTCAACCAGAAACTCTGTTTTGGTAACAGCTTGTTGAGAGAACTCCGTGTTTTCCCAGTATGTACTTGAAGAAGATTAATGAGTCTTACTAACACGCCAAGTCAATCTGTTCCCTGCTGTCAATCACCTCCCATAGAACAAGTATGTCTGTCTCACTGGCTATATTTTCATGCAGAAACCCTACAAAAGTTTAATTAAAACACTAATCACAACTGATCATGAAATACACTCCAGAACACTATTTAAGAAATAATTGGATATATATTAGATAAGACTTTCTATGAAGAACTTTTCCTCTAAAGGGTCAGTGAAGACAAAGGGAAGAATAAACAATATGAACAGTTTGACAGTGATTCTTATGATTTAATTTTGATTTCTGCAGTTGGATGGTTCAGTCTATTTTAAAAAAAGTGGTATCTACTTGCAACATCCTATTTGACTATTGTCCAAGAATAAATAATTTACATTTAAAAAGAAATACAATATTGCTCTTATCTTGGGAGCTGGAAGTGGGAGGCGGTGCAGAAGAAATTTTGTAAATACAGAAAGCAGATGACAAGATTTTCAAGACTGGCTTTTCATGGCAGCAGGCAATAAAATATTGGTCTATACTACAATATCCGTTTTTCAATAAAATAATTGAGAAGAGTGTGGGAATTTCTCATTCTCTTGCATTCCATGGAGTTCCAGTGTGCATTATCACTGGTGCAAGTTAAAAGCTGTGGGGTGGGGTAGTTCTACTTACCCAACATTACATAAAATCTGAAAAAAGTGTAGCCTTCAAGCCTGAAAGAGCTAAATTTGCCATATTCCAGGTTCACTATGAGTAATGCAGAGCATGGATGAATTAACCAATGCAGTCAGAGCTGACACAGTGGAGGGAACTGTCCTTTGAGAAGGCAGTAATGGGAGCCAGGGGAACCCAATGGGGAAGTCAGAAATGTTTGGGGAAAAAGTGAAGGGAAGCAGAAGTAAAGAGAATAAAGATGGAAATTTGTTTGTAGAAGACTGAGGGTGACTTAAAGACAACAAACCCCTGAATGTCTGAAACCCCTTTACTCAAGTTTTGCAGTGATTAAGTGCTCTCCTCATAATATAAATTTTTTAAAAAAATTATGTGAGGTGTAAAAATATGTAGAGATATATGAGTATATTTATAGAAAAGACTGTTAGCAACAGTAATTTCTCTTGTCCACTGGAGTAGATGAGCTTCTAATCTGTTTTCTAGTTAGCAAAATGGTTCAAATGGTATGAGAACTCAGAAGGGCCCAGAAAAACATGAAGAGTTAAGGAACAGCATGCACTTTCAACAAAATTAAACACATTTATTTTTTGCTTATAAACAGTAAATGTTGGTGAATTGGCCTAATACGAGAGCATTAAGAACATGGAATGATTATAATTGTGGAGGTATTACATCATTGAGGGAAAAAAAGCAGCAGTCATGTGGCCTGTTGCAGAGCAATATGTGTTTTCCCCACACATCACAGTCATGGGAAGAGGAGGAGAACTATCCCCATTTTTGTATTGCTTGGAGGCCAGTCCAAAATACTGAAAATGGTTTTACTGGACAAAATTCCTACAGGATCATGGAGCTTTGTTCCCTATCACAATGGCTACTGGTAGTATCTCTGGGACTGTCCAGCACTTAAAAGTTTCATTCTGGCTTTTTTGTCCTACATCCAAAGGCCAAGAACTTCCCATAGGTCCAGGCTGCTGTCAGCTGACTTTATTAGGTTGATTCCCATAGTCCTTTTGAGCGAAGGCTCTCACTTCAGGCCTCTAGTGGAAGTTTCTCTGCTAGATCATTTGCTTTTGGTCCACTTGAGCAAGTCAAATTTATTTGGAATTTGCATGATGAAGTGTCCTGGATCAATGTCTCTCCTTTCTATATATCTGTGAGAAAAAGAAAAAAACAACCATGCAATTCATTTGCATGATTAGGAGGACAGAAGATATGTCACATATCACACATGATATATCAGAAGATATATCACATATATCACATCAATATGCAAACAGGGATTGCTGAAGTTTAATGGTAGATGGTAATGGTAACAGTAGATAATGGTCCTGAGCAGATTGGTTGTGGGCATCAGTTCCTGAAATGATCATGGGAAGTTTTAAGAGAAAAGGGAACATGCTGTTGCTGCACTTGTCATGTCCAGAGTGCCACATACATCTGGTCCTTTGGCAAGATCCACGTGCCCCTCATTCACAGACCCTCTCTTCTTATTCCCTTCACCAGAATGTACTCACCAAAGCCATCTCTTGGGGTTTGGAAGAGGCCTGGCTATGCTTGAAAAGGTCTGGGAGGATTACACCTTGGATGATGCCACCAGGTCTTTGTTTGGAAGTGGGATGAGCCAGAGGTGTGAGAATCCCTTGATGAGGTAGCCCCAGGACTTCTGCTGGACACTCAGCTCTGCCCTGCTGGCAGGAGTCTGTGAACACTGAAGCATTCCATGGTCATCAGCCATCCAAGCATCTTGTGAAAATCATCTTAAAAATCAAAAGTGCATCTCACAGCCCTAGCTGGCTCAGGCCTTTCTCTAAGGGTAAATTCGTCACCTTCTCTTTTTTAACTAATCACTGTTCTGTTGATAGAAGCCTCAGTCTCAGTCTGGCTTCTTAAAGTAATGTTTAGTTTTCCGGAGAGTTTTTCCACTGGTCTTCTCAGACAGAAACCCACTCCATGGTTCCATCTAAGATCCAACTTCATGTCCCTATGAATTTCTGTTACTGCAACAGTGGGTACCGAACTCCTTCACAAGGAGTCTGCTGAAAACAAATATTCTTGGGACTGACACAGCAAGAGAAGTTTTGACAATGCTGTTACATCATCAGGACATGTAAAGACAGAACCTGAGTGTAACAACCCCACCATGAGGATCTTCTCCTCCCAGTTTGCCTGCCTAGGACACTGTAGGCTCAGGATGGAAAATAAGCAACTTGGAAATCTAGACTGCAGTGCAAACTGAACCCTAAGTGTGTGTGATGGCTTTGACATGATTTATGTTTCTTGACAGCCTGGTGGCATGTGAACATGGGGAATAAGTGAGGGTTGGGCCCATGGGGAATAAGAAAGAGTTGTCTCTTCAGATGTTCCATGCATGAGGGATGCAGAGCAGCGGGCTACTGAGGGAAATCTTGGAAGGAGCTGCAGAGTCCACAGTGCTCTGCTGAATCCAGCAAAGGAGAAGTTTGTTTCCCTCGAGGTTCCCAGGACTTATTGGACTTCTCTCTAAGGTTATAGTTCCCTTTTTCCCATTAATATTAGCAGTAGAAACCTCTCTTGTTGAGCGTAGAATGACATTTCAAGAGTTTATTGAGTAAATCTGCATATGCATTTCTTCCCTGAAATTTCAAGTGGGACATTGTGAGAAAAGATTTACAAATCATATATTCACAAATCCACAGAATAATCTGAGTTGGTCTTCTATTTTCCTTCATTTTGATGTTTTAAACTGGGGTTTTTACTGTCAAAACTAGAAAATGTTCTTATTGATAACAGTGCCTGAGGCACAGACTATTGGAAATACCATATACATTAATAAAGACTTTGATAATTTAATTTTGGTATTGAATAACTGTAGATGCCCAACACATGCCTATGTTACATGTTTGTGTTGAACAGTGTGGTTAGGATATGTCTGGATATCTGGTATGCTATTTTAATGTATAAACTGCTCTTTAAATTGTTGATTATATTCTTAGGCAGGTTCTAGTGAATGAATGGGACTTGTCGATTGGTAAAAAATAATCCTGAATCCAAGTTTGCACTGTGCTGTCAAGAATAAAGATTTCCCTTAAAGGTGGTAAATTTTAAGTGGGCAAGTTAAAACATATAAAATATAAAGTATAATATGAAAATAACTAGCAAATCTAAATTATCATCAAAACAATCCTCAGAAAATTAATCTGCATTTATGATCACACTATTCAACAACATCAAGGGAAGGCCAGATATTTCCCCAGCATACAAAAGGTTATAAGAAGAAATACCCATCTCTCATTCCCAAACTGGTTCTCATTCTTCCTGGAAGAACCTTTTTTTATAATCAAGATTGATTTATCTGAATAACACATTTAAGCAAGTCATAAACCTCTGCGACTGAAGTTAACGAGCACTGACTGTCCAGGGGATTTTTAACAATTCATTTTTCTTTAGTGAGCTGAGAGAGGTTCTGCTTAATTCCAGCTTTTCCATCCCTGTCCTGTAACAGACCAAGTATATTAAATTGACCCAGAATTACCTGTTCTGCTTTAAAAAAAAAAAAAGAATTAAAAACAAAAGGACAGGAAAAAAGACAGATATGTTCTCTATTTGCCTTACTGCCTAATAAACAAGAGAAAAACAACTCAGATGTGCCAGGTGCAAACTTGCTGCTGCTTTTCTGTGAAATTTAAAGACGAGACTTCAGTAAAGGCCATTCAATAAGTATCTGCTGTAGCTAATGAGAGCAATCTGAATGCTGAAACTAGCTTTGCATGTCTGCAATGGGACAAATCAGATACCTGCTTATAGCACTCCAGAGTTTCCAACACTTGGGCTCTAAAAGACATAATCAAAATGTTTCATGAGGTGTAACTTGCACAACTTAATAATTGAAGAAATGTCTTAGACTCTGTGCACGTGCTCCAGCAGGAATGGTGCCACTCAGAAATAAATTGCATGTCTGTTTAAGATTCTTCCCCAGCAGTATTAGAATCTGTCCGGTAAAATGATACGAACTTAATTTGCCATAGTACTAATTTACATTGCCATTAATGAGAACACAAGTTTTAAATCACAGACATGGATGTACTATTGTGCATCCAGCTTATTTCGACTCCACTCAGGGTGATAAGGCATTCTCTAGACAATTGTAATTATGAGTAATTTGTAAAAGTAATAAGAACTGCTTTTTATTACAGGCAATAAAAATCAATTCTTCATTCAATTATCTTTCCTGGCTATGATATGATAGCTGCCCTGAGTGAGTGCAACAGGAAAAAAAAAAGCTGAGCTAAATCCTAAGGAAAATAACTATTAAAGAAAAAGACAATAGCACTATTAAAAAAGATTCTAAGAATATTTAATCTCCATTTCAACTTCTTGTCAAAAAGACATGATAATAAATGCCTGACAATATTGCTATAATCCTTTTTTTTTAAGATGCCAAATTCACATATATTGACATTATTTTAAACGTAGGACCAATTTCATTGATTCAGTAGGATAATTCTTGTAGTTGAGAGACAGCAAAAATATAAGTCTATGTAGAATCAGAATGGTGGTGAAGAAAAGCATTTTAGATGTAATTAGTTTTCATGCATTAAAACTTGTTGAATTAGAAGTTAAACATTAGCTCCAATTTTAAGAGGAATTAGAGGTTAAAATCCTTCTATTTAATAATACACAGAGTTTTATGCAGTAATGTTTTTCACACAAGAATGTATCTGGGGAAAAGTTCCTCTTTTTGATTTGTATTTTTCTAATTCATTTCAAACTTTTCAATTAGAGGGGTCTGGAAAAAAACAAATGGTTTTGTATAAAAAGCCCATTTAATAAAATAATTTTGCATATTTTAAATATTTTTTCGTACATTTTTGGTTCAGGGCAATTGAAACTGAGGAAAAAGAGTGTCAGATTTCCTTTTGAAAGTGGGAGCTGATTTTGTTTATTATAATTTCCTCACCTGCCAGAAGTGTGAGATTTTCATGGAAGTGGTAAATTGAGTCTCCAGTGCAGCAGGATTTGTGGACGGGTCACTTTACTCCAATAACTTTGTTCTCCCTTCTTGATAAGGAAATGACATGGTACATTTGTTTGAATTTTTATCAGGAATATTAGAAATGAACAAAGACATTTTAATGGGCAAACTATTCAAGGATTATATGAATCAAAGAGGTTTTTGGGGAGCTCATTTTTTACCCCTTCTCTAGCATTACACATCTCTGCTCAGACAGCAGTGAATGTCAGCTTTAGTCAGGAGCCATTTCTGGAGCACTTTGTTAAAAAAAATCCATATAAAATACATGGTCTGGGTCATCTTGTCCTCAGCCTTTCTCAAATCTTCAACTGTTTAATTGTACTGCATCTCCTTCTTCTTTTAAAATGTATTTTAAAAATTTACCTCCTTCCCTTGAGTTCTGTATATCACTTATATAGTAGGGATCAGTAAGAAATTTACTGATTAATATTTTTTAAAAAATTTCTTGTTTGTGAATATTTGGGAAGAGTGAGTTTTGTGATGTCATGGTAACCTCAAGTTTGTAGTCAAGTTTTCAGATCCTTTTCTGAAAAGAGCTCTGTTAATTGGCAACCTGTACCTATAGCAACAGAAATGCACATCCTTCAGTTACATTTTCCAACCAAGCTTTTTCATGGGAAAAGCTTCTCAAAGTACTGCTTTTAGAGGAACATTCAGTTCATAATTAAAGAAGGAAACAAATAAACTGGAGTACAAATTTGCTGTCATCAGTAGATTGATCTTGATTTCATTTAATTGTTCACAGAATTCTGCTTTAAATCAGATAAATTTGGAGTAAGACACCCACAAGACATCAACATGAAATATTTAGGCTTTTAGAAAAAAGTCAGGGTGAAATTCTATAGTGAATATACTATTTTCAGAGCACGATGTGTCCATCTCTGCTGTCAACAGCAGGCCTTGCTCTCCTGCCTTCAGAAGTGATTCTGAAAAGGATTGACATAACCTAATCCCAAAAACTCTCCAGTGCAAATTTACTGCCATAAAATGGGTGCTCATTATACAGGCAAGATCCAGTTTTAATATTGGCAGGTGTAATGAAATCTTTCTCTGCATCACAGTTCCTGAGCTATACCATCCTTGTTATTGCACTCCTGAAACTCTCTTAAGTAGAGAACTCGGCATTTGCATAAATTCCCCGAAGATCTATGAAGAAAATGTTCCAAGGCCCTCCAGGGCTAAGTGTGTCTGGTGAAGTATATGAATAAATCTGTCAGTTTTGAATCATTAGGAATGGATGGCTTTAGGGTTGATTTTAAATGGTTGCCAGTATATCTCAGGGTTTTACTAAAGACAGAGGATGGGCAGGAGCAACTTGTATTATTCTCCTTGTTTGGATAGGGTTAATGAAAGTGTTACCAGGAATTGTGTGGGAGTTATGGAATCAGAGAATCACAGAATCATTTAGGTTGAAACAGGCCTTTGAGATCATCAAATCCAACCATTAACCCAACACTGCCAAGTCACCTCTAAACCACTAAGCACCACATCTACAAAGTCAGTAATTTGTAAATTACAATTTAATCGTATTAACGCAGAAAAATTGACACCCAAACAGCATATGCTGAATGTCATACCATTTTTTCCTATATTGTTGCAAGCACTCTAGGTGGCATAAATAATTCCTGGCTCTGTTTGCACTTCTATTTTTTCCCTATAAATTAAAAACAAATTATATAGGTGGATAGAAGGCAGCA